CGGTGACCATCCCGCCGGCTCTTGAGGATGGGGCCCATACATTGGAAGTCAAACTCTGTTGGCAGGGCTGACAATCTCCTTGAACTACCTACGGATACTCGATGACGACAGATGGAACCGGGGTATGCGATCAGCTTCAATCTGTGACTACGTCCAGCCCTAAGCACAACCGAACTAATTCGCCTCATACACATATGTCAGCAGCCACTTTTCATTCCTCTCTCCAGTAGCCTTTCTGGACTTCAAGGGCCAGAAACCAGGACCGTTCCTGTCAGAAACACACACGTCTCCCGCGAAGCAGAAAAGACAACACGCCAAGGGCCAAAGTCTCCAGTATTATCTACCTTATTTTCTTCTACCCCTTTCTTATCCTCCTCTCTGCCCCCTTTTCCCTTTCCTTTCTTTGCTCTTTTCCTCTCGTTGTGTTCTTTTTCTTTTCTTTGCCCAGCTTATCCCAGCCCTTGTGAAGCATCAACTCATCAAAACAAGCCACGAGGCGGAACTCCTGGTCCTCAGCCGTCGTCAAGCCACTTTGTACTCACTTTTGCGGCTCAAACTCGCAGGTGGAAAACAAAGGTACATAGGGGACTTGGAAGCCCGAGTCCGACGATACCGTCTCGGCTGGCTACATCAGACGCACCGTATCAACAACAGCAATCGTTAAAGTCTCTCGATCCCAAGTGGAGGCCCGTAAGTATAACACGGAACTGCACAAATAGCGAGGTAGAAGACCCTGTGAAACCCGGCCTCACCATGCAATCGCACCGCCCCGCCCCGCCCCGGCTAACGGAACGGACTCGGCGAGCCAGCACACGAGCCTCACTCAGAAGGATATGTCAAATTAGGCGGACACCAAAAGATTCCAGCACATCCATCCAAAAGGGAGCTGGAGAAAGCGTTGCAACATGATGCATCGTGGCCAAGGGTATCTCCTGCGAAGGAGTTCTGACGAGAATGGCGACGGGAGGGGGATAATATAGCTAAATAGCAAGTAAAATCTGTACCATCTCTGAGATGTCTTGCTAACTATCATATCCAGACCGTGTGCTGTACGCTGAGCCGCGGCGTAGAATCCTTAGATCCCAGATGAATACATATATAGACTCAAAGTCCAAGATATACCTTCATCGTTCAGCAGAAGAATGCGACCCGGACACCGCCCCCGTCCCATGTAGAGACTACGAAACGAACCGGCCTCATCAACGCCCTCTCCAGCTCTTCTTCTTACATCCAGAAAAGGAGTCAATCATATTCTCCATCAGCAACGCCGGCCACTCCGGCAACGGCGCCTCAGTCTCCCAAAACAGCTGCTCGTGCCGCAGCCACCCCTCGTTCCACTGCGCCGACGTCCACATTTTATTGGCGCGCACGACCTTCTCAGCATCCCACGGCTCGCCGGCGTCAAAATTACACCGCACCACGGACCCGCTGCTGCCTCGCGCGATATCCCTCATCGCCTCGGGGAAGCCCTCGTAAAAGTACCCCAGGTACGACTCGTACATCCCGGAGACGGGATGCACGCCCGCCCTGGCCGCGTCCTCGCCCCGCCTCTCGAACCAGTCCAGCACCGGGTGGACGAGCACGAGGCGCCGGTCCATGGACTCGGTCCACGCCCGCTGCCACGCGGCGTCGCGCTGCACGACGGTCTGGAAGATGCGCGCGCACAGCTGCGGCGCCGGGTCGCCGTCCAGGACCAGGGAGAAGGACGCCGCGGGCATGCCCGCTGGCCCGAGAGCCAAGGCCTCCGTGACCCAGAGCGCGACGGTGGACGTGATGTCCCGCGACCGGAGCGCCCGCGTGGCGGCACGATTCTGGCGTTCGCACTGCTGGTGGGGCGTGTGCCATCTCTTGTCGACCTGGAAGAGGTTCCGCCACAGGTTCACGCGACGTTCGACCCGCAGGAGGGGGTTCTCCCGGCAGAAAGGGATCAGGCCTCGGGCGTGGCTCTCCGGATGCGCGACGGAGCGGTAGTCTTCCACGAGGACAATCTTGCGCACCTGCGCGCGCATGGCGGCGGGGATGGACTTGAGATAGCGGATGGCCGACGCGGCGGCCGAGAAGCGGTAGACTGAGCCGTCGGATCCGTGGCGGATGGATGAGAGCAGGCGCTTCTCCTCGGTGATCCACGACGATAGCTCCTTCAGGTCGGCGGCCTTGGGGATATCCCACTCCCTGACCGAGCAGCGCATGATGCGGCTCGAGCGGGTTTCCCCACCCGCCAAGCGATTTTCCGAGATGTTCATGAGCCGGCACCATTCGAGTTGATTCCAGTCGTTCGGTTTCAGACGAGACGCGGCTTGAAGGAGGTCGCAGCAGAGCTCGAGGTATGAAGATGGTGCCTCACCATAGGGACCACGGCGAAAATGCGTGAAGCCCCAGGCTCTCCATGGTGTCAAGTCCTCATGATCCATTCGCTCCAGGACTCGAAGGAAGCGAGGGTGCTTCTTGGCCAGCTCGTCCAAGGTAAGTTGAGCTGTGGCCCATGACGGCTCGCCAGATGGGGACGACCCTGAGGACGAGACCCCGTCCGGGTCTTCAGTACTAGGAGGGTCGACGTGTACTTTGCTTGCAGCGGCCAAGTCGCTGCTGGAGCCGTCACTGTCGTTCTCCTCATGGTCGTGATCGCCCTCTTCTGACGTAGTTGTCCGCGCCTGTTGCTCTTCGAACCTCCGCCTCGCCAGGAAGCCTCCGGCAAAATGTAACAGTTGCTGCCTGTATCTGTCGAGGCAACGCCCAACCAGTCCGTCGAACCGAGCAGCGCGCATGCGCAAACCTTCAAGCATGGCTAAAGGGGACGGTCCAGATTCCGACGTAATGGTGGAGAACGTGAGGGTGTTGCTCCGCAAGGCTAGGTGGCGCATCTCGTTGGCGACGAGTCGACAGGCGTACATCAGGTTGAGATCGATGGGTCGCCCGTCGGCCCTCTTGAGCCTGCCACCGAGGAGATCGTCTGATTCATAGATGTATCCCCCCTCGACGATGATGTAGTGCTCATATATGAGGTCGCGGACTTCGCGCGGGATGGAGAGCAGTCGCGAGTCGGACCGCAATCCGCCGTGCGCGTGGTTCGGGATGTCCATCTCGTCATGTGTCGCCCTTGTCTCGCGACACCGGATTTCGCTTTCCGTCCCGTCGACTCGACGAAGACTCTGTGACAGAAGGACGCCTGGAGTAGCTGAAGCGAGTCGGACAATTGTGGTGGGCGTGTATGTGTGGGTTGGTGATTAGCTGAGACGTGTTGACGAAAGCGAGGAAGGGAAGCTAAGAGTAGAGGTGAGGTACCTTGGGTTGGGGGGGGCACATGGAAACTCACCGCAATTTATAGCGCACTTCGCGCTACTTGTTATAGGTACCTTGGTGGACCGCAGGTGCCATGGGCACTCATTTCGGTCATTTTGCGCACCTTGCGGGCTCCCATCAGCGCCACTTCCTCTGAGTCACAGGCTGGAACCAACCTACCTAAGTAAGTACCTTATTCTTATTACACACTCCATCCATCCACTCTTCCACCTCACTGCACATTCGCAATTGCTCGACACATTTTTTTTTCTTATTTAGAAAAACCTTTATTAGGAAGAAAAAACTAAAATAAGACGGTCTGCTGTGGTGATAGCAGTGATTTCTAAGTACCTTGTTATCGAAGAAAGTTAATTCTTTCTGAGTCACAAGTACAAGAATACAGTTTTAATAAAACAGTATAGTGCCCACCCAGCACTTGAATTGAGATGCTTTTTCAAGCTCGCCATGAGAGAAAGATGACTGTACTGCTGACTGCCTGCTATCGAGGTTCGCAACTGGCTTACGCATTATTAACAGGCATGTCTCTTCTGATCGTGCAGTGGGCGGGGGAGTTGACGGGAGGGAGGGCAAAAGCTGGTGTCAGACTTACCGCTGTGGCTTCAACCGTGATGGCTTCGCCCGTGATGGGCGAAAAGTCTGATTATGAGTCCCTTGAAAGCCTCTCATCAAGAGCTATAAGAGCCTCCGAGTCTGTAAGTAGATTGTCAGTACTCCGATAGCTGTCTGGGGCTCAATGAAAAGACGTACATACTGAGTTGAAATGCTTGCCAAGATACCAACAACCAAACCAACCCCACGATGACGACCTTGACAAAAGACCTGAAGAAAAACGCCAGAATCCTCGCCGTCTATGTGAAAGAGATCGCGTCAGCAAAGTCAGAGAGTCGAGGTAGGCAGCGGAAACTCACCGTTGGGCACGATCCACGAAGCGTAGCAACGCGGCCGCAGAGCATCGCCAACATGTCACACGCCAAGAAGGGCATCATAAGCACCAACGAGACGGACAGGGTCGTGTCTGTAGGTGGTAGAAGAGAAAACCAGTTAGTGCGCGTTCTCCTGGGACGTTGGATGTTCTGCCGCTGGCACGACGGGGAGGGGAACTGCCTACCGATATGGCGCCTCGGCTTCCTCCTACAGCTCGAGGATCATGGCCTTAGACGGCATTGGAAGTCCATCAGAAAGCTCTATCGAGTGCTCCGGCACATCCACCGCCATCTCCGCGATGGCAAGACTCCCGGCGCCCACGCACGAGAGTGGGTTGCCTACCTCCAGACACTGCCAGACACGGGAGATCAGAAACGGGCGGGAAGAGGGGCGAAGATGATGGTCACAAGAGAGAATTGTCACTTACATAACACCAGCCTACCAACAAGCTGTCGAAACTGCGATTCTGGCGATCCCTTGACGAGGGAGAGGGTGGAATGGAGGAAAGGATGGGTGACTTGTCTCGAAATCTCAGCGTCAGCGTCGGTCTTCCAAGGTATTGTACGACAAAAATGACTTACGAAAAGGGTTGAGGTTGAACAGTGCGGAATTCGAGGGCAGGGTAGCGTCTACATGTACTGCGGCAATCCTCTAGTAATGCAAAACGATGGAGTTAAACAGTGTGTGTGTGTGTGTGTGTGTGTGTGTGTGTGTGTGTGTGTGTGTGTGTGTGTGTGTGTGTGTGTGTGTGAAGAAGAGCAAACGAGACCGGGGTCTCAGAAGTCCCCCTGATGAGCATGCACCATATCCTTGAAAGATGCAAAGTCTGCATGGTTCGAAGTCCATGTGAACTGTTGGATGCCGAAATGGTTGATAGCCCAGCGGGACGCTTGGGCGGCGCCCTCAGTAAGCAGACCCTCCAGGGTACACATGCCATTGCGGGTTCGCTTGCCGCCCCTGAGGTCCTTGAGAGGGAGTTGCGATCTTTGCTCTTGCAGGTCTGGGCATGCGTAGAACAAGTGGCCGACGGTTTGTTCACCTGTGCGACAGGGACACATCTTGGTCACGACGTCGGGGCACTGCGAAACGTGTCAAACCAAATGGCAATCAGGTTGTGTTTTTTTTTTGCTGAATGCAGACAGAGTTCGGGAACATCGTACCTTTCTCCAAGATAAGTATGAATTGAGTCCAATGTGCCCGGTGCGGCACTGGATCAAGATGCTGCTCTGGGCATGGGTGAGGTCCTTGTGGATCTTGAGACTCTCCTTGCCCCATTTCCCCTTGACCGCGACCGGAGTGCGATTGAAGTCTGAGCGAGATTTTGACATCTGGCGTTGCTCGCAATAGTCTCGCCAGAGCTCTGCACAAAACAGGTTGGATTGACGCTGGACATATTTCCCAATGGCGATTTTCCGGTGCATGATGTCAAGTCTACTCCACTCGGGGCGCTTGAGGTTCCTGGTCCTTGTCGTATGATCATATTCGGTCCCTACTTCGCTGGCCACGGCTCTGGCATAGTAGTATGCGACTCTGTAAGGTTGTTTGTCAAACTTGTCAGACCTGTGTTTGGAATAGAAGCGGTTATGCAAGCTCTCCATCAAGCCCGGGTCGTCTCCATCGAGTGCACGGGCACGTTGACACGTCGCGAGTCTTAGGAGATGAACCGTGATGGGCTCAATATTCAACTCCTTCTGGAGAACAGCGCCAGGTGTCGAACCGAAGGCCCCAGCCAGCATCCGAAGACATTGTGCCTGCAGTGAATGAAGCCGGTCGACGAGAGCTTGCGTGAGATGATACTTCATCATGTGGTTGTCGCCAAAGAGGAACCATGCCGCACAGCCATAGGAGATGATCGACCTGACGCTAGTGAGATATGTCTTCCTCATCTGATGAAATCCTGGTCCTCACGTTGACTGGTGCAGGCCGCGCAGCGAGTTCATCTTCGTCTCAACCTTGCGCTCAATCTGGTGGTGCCATGCGTTAGCTGGCTGCCTCTGTATGATGGTTCGTTGTTGCAATTGAGTGAGTGGCATGGTGAGAAACTTACGCTATCAATATGATCGGCCCACGTCAGTTTGTGATCCACCTGAATACCCAGAATTCGAAGACCGCCAAGTTCCTCCTCCTCCTCATCATCATCGTCGTCGTTTCTAAGCGCTGGGTCTTGTCGCTTCGCTGGGTCCTGTCGCTTCTTCCTCAGAACCGCCCTCTTCTTTCTCTTTGTCAACCTTTCCTTGACCAGGCTGTTCTTGGTCATGTTGGGAATGTTGGGAACCCCCTCGTACGGCTCACCTCGATCACCAGGCTTTCGAAAGTGCATGACACTGTACTTGGCTGGAGAAAAGTTGATACCGCGCGGTGCAGCCCACTCCAGAACTCGCTGATGCCACTTCTCGATGAGCTCGCAATTTCTCACATAGTCCTTTGAAGTAACAACGATGTACGTATCATCGACGTATGAAAGTGCAAAGACACGGTCTTCCTTGGGGTTTTCCTCGTCAAACATCTCGATGATCCGCGCAGCAAAGAAGGTAAAGAGAATAGGCGATAGTGGGCTTCCCTGAGGAATACCAATGTCAACGTAAAACTCCATCGAAATATAGCCCGGCATTCGGAGCCTGGTTTTTCGATCGGAGAAGAACGATATGATCAGAGCCAACAACCACTCGGGAATTCCCATGGCGCGCATGATGATGATCAATTCTTCACAACTGACATGGTCGTACGCTCCTGCAATATCAAGCCCTAAGAGAGTCGTCTTCAACGCAGCAAGCCACCCGTCCATCACCGCATTGGCAATGAACTCAACGGCCTTGGAAGTGCCTTTGCCGACGAATCCATACTGGTGGGGTGGAACCAGTCCGAGACGGACTGCTATTTGCCGAAGAAGGTCTGCAATGAGCCGCTCAAAGACCTTGCCGATAGTGGAGAGCAGCGCCACGGGGCGCCAGCTCTTTGGTGTGGCATAGTCAGACTTGCCCTCTTTTGCAAGCACGACTGTGATGGAAGCCTTGAAGCAGTCGGGGTAATGACTCAACCGCATGCAGGCATTGAAGAGGTGCGTGAGGTAGGGCAACAGGGAGGTGCTCGCGTACTTGAGAGCATCGCTCGTGACCTCGTCAGGGCCTGGACTCTTGCCGGTCTTGAGGCGTTTGATGACATTGGCGACATGATTCTCCATAATGAGTGGAGGCTTGTCATGTCCCATTATCTTGATGAGCTTCTCAATCTCCTTGCGTTTGGCCTCGGCCTTCTTTTGGGCGGCGTGCCTAGCCCTGACTTCAGCTCTGGCTTTTCTCTGACCTTCAGTCTTGACTCTCTCCCTGGACAAGGCAGCAGCCCAATGGGCTGGGTCGACCCCAGGCGGAGGTGCAAAAGAGGTTGAGTCTGATGCAGGGGAAGAAGTACCTTGCGACTCTGCTGGTGTGGCGGGAACGCTTTCGGGAACGCTTTCGGGAAGGGATGGTGTGGTGGGCGTGTTGCAGCATACAGGCGTCGAATCAGGGCCCCCAACAGGACTTGCTGGAGCGGCCGGAATCTGGCACCCAGTGTGCAGCAGATTCGACGTCCCACCCTGCAGGACCTCGCCAGGGGGACAATCGCGCGTTTTCTCCCATATCGAATCCCGGAAAACCTTGGCATTCTCCTCTGAGCTACCGCAAATGGTGGTCTGATTGTTTACGGTAGATTTGAACATGGGCATATGCGGTGGTCGCTGGATCTTGCTACGACGTTGCGCCCACCTCACCAGCGACCATAGCCCTGGGTCCTGGAAAGACTGAATGGCAGCTCTGCACCGCCAATGCTTTCTGCCTTCGAGTCTCAACAGACGATTGCTTTTGCTGTGGAGGGCTTCAAGAACTTGTAGCTGTTTCTGGTAGGGTCGCTTTCCAAATGTCATCCGGCGCAATTTGCTCATGGCAATTCTTTCTTGTGCAAGATGGTCTCGTATAGCGGGTGTAAGCGGTAGTTGTTTCCGAGGCGTGTTTGGGTTCCGCACTTGACTCTCGACGCAAGTTTCGGTTGCAAGCTGAACAGCGTTGATAATATCCGAGGCGAAAAGATTGATGCGCGATGGGGAAGACAGGTCCGGCAAGGATTTGTCAGAGTCTCGCAGAAGACGCAGTGTAGCGCCCACCTTCTTCCTGAATTCCGCTTTGTCCACACTGTTCATGCGATCAAATTTCCACTTCCTACTACCGTCCTGACTAACTCGAGCGTCCAGAGTGGTGTAGATGACACAATGGTCCTCGTGGAACCCACGAGCATCCTCAACTCGGACCTTTGGATTTCGACGACGGAGTTCCTTTCCAGCCCAGACCAAGTCAATGGTTGATTGTTTAGAACCACTCCGATATGTAGGGATCCTGCAGACGAGGCAACGCATCCCTGCTTTCTTTGCCGCTGAGTTGAGAGTTCTGCCATGTGTATTCCCTTTTGGCCTTTTCCCCTTGGGGTCAGGAAGAGACCAGTCCTTATGATGGGCGTTGAAGTCGCCAAGGATGAAACAATTGTCGAGGTTCCGACATGCGGCAAAAAAATTCTTCATGATGAAGGACTTGCCCGGCTTGCGGTTGTAGACGTTGTAGATCTTGATTTCGCTGTCGTTATCAAGACGGAGCACCAACATGGCGATGTATCCCTCGCCGTGCGGCACATCCCACTCAACCCTCCAAGAGTTCAAGTTGATCGATTTGTGGACGTAAAATGCCACGCGCCGGACGCCTTGTTTCTGCTTCCCCTTTTTGTCGAGGGATGGCTTGTCTTCGTGGTCGATGATGCCCCAGTCGCTTTGATATTCGTAATGGTAATCTGATAGCTGGAACACCTCGACTGGAGGATCTTGTATGGCAAGGATGGCGGGGACTCGATCCAAAGTGGATCCGTGATCCGCCAGAAAACGGACACGCTGAGATTCTCTGCGTACGTTGGCCTGCAGTATGTCGAGGTGTTCCAGGGTGTAGTGATGGGCTTCCGTGCTGGTGGAAAGAGAGCCAAACGTGTGGCGAAGCCCCGGTATGGTGGCAACCGCGGCGGCCCGGGGGTTTGGTCAGACTTGTTGCAAGCAAAGTACGTCGTTCAACTTACCGGACTGGAAGGTATCTGGACATGTTGCCCTTCCGCGGAGGGACTCGATGCTGAGGGTGGAGTGGGTATTTGTGGCTGGCTGTGCTCGACGCAAGGAGACTTGCACTACATTTGCAAGGATGGTCAGCCTGTCATGTGACCTTTTGGAGCCAGAAACCTGAAGAGAGAGACTCACAGCATCTGAATTCGTCGTCAAGGTCCGAAGACGACGGGCCGTGCGGCCTTGTGAGCGAATGGCAACCATGCTCTCGCCGCGATCTCGTGCGAGAAAACTGCCGTCTACACATACGGGCTGATGACTGCGTTAGTCTGACCAATTCACACAATGAGGGTCTTCACGTGCACAAATACCAAGTTCGTAACACGGGAATATTCATTTGCGGAAGAAGAGCAGCCTCATGTTGGCGACTGTCTGGCCGATGCTTCGAATGCAACGAAGAAAGATTTGACGGACGGCGTGGCGCCTTTCGACCACCAGAGATTTCTCAGACAGCTGTGGTAGGACGAAAAGATGAAGGAAGACAAAATGCAATCTTGAGTTGAACGGAAAGAGGCGATGGTTGTGTCATCGAAGGCTCGAGACAGGAGCATGGCCGACATATATGGCTGACTCCTGTTCGAGCTGATTGTGACAACGGGGTCCATTGGAAGACGCTCGGTCCGAATAGGAAGATGGAGGAATTCAAATCAGAGGCAGAATTACCGAGTTTGTTCCTCTATCCGAGGAGTTTCAAATAGATACGTACCTAATCAAGGGGACGGATGCTTCGGTTTGCTCGCTTTTCCCGGTATCCGTAGCTAAGGTAGGCACGGTACCTACACAGTATGTATGTGGCAATCACTGTTGATGGTGGCAACTGCTCATGTTCAAACTTTTGCAGCTACGCCGTAATTACCTCAAGAAAGGCAAGCACTGCCTTCTCGTCACTTTGGCAATTTCGCGTGACGCGACCTTGTCTCTGCCGGCCCATGCAGGTGACAGGTCTGTGGAGTGCGAACCTGATAAGGTGGGTTCTCAAGATCTCCAAAGTTACTGTGTAGGTCTACTGTAGAGTAGGTCTAAACCCCAAACCTACCTAATGTGAGGTAGAGTCCTAGACCCATGAGAGACCCACTGCCACCCAACTGCCACCGAACCCCCATGTAAGGTACCGATCTTATCAGTACCTCACTGCAGGTGATAGGAAACAGTTTGTCCACTTCCATCAGGAGTAAGGTATCTTACCGTGGAAAAGACACGGTGCTAAGATAGTACGTACCTTCCATTGTTCATCGTGGTGTCGTGTCCGAATCAGTGACTATTTGCCCACACTACTCTCGCCACCTGCGTTCCTTTTTTTTGATTGGCTGTTTATTCATTTTCTTATGGCATTTTATTTTTTTTCTTTTTTGGAGCTCAAGGTATTCTGGTGGTCGTGCACTTCTGATGAGTTGGCTGATTCGTTTCACCAGATCTTACCTTCAAGTCGAATAAAAGAGGTTCCCACCTACGGTAACAGGTACTCTGGCATCGAAAACATCAATTCACCTCACCACACGGACAACACATACTTCAGCTACTCATACTTCCAATCAGTCTCTCATTCTACTCTCACTGCTTTATCTGCCACCATGAACTATCCCCCGTACGGACACAATCCCAATTCCTATGGATACAATGGGGACGTGTTCGCCAACCCTCCCGGTCAGAATGGCCCTCAACATAGCGGAATGCTGGGCCAGCGTCAACATGTCTCTCATCCGCAACCTCTTCATTCCCACAATCAATTTCATAGGGGCTCTCCTGGTCAGCTGCCTAGCCGTGGCGCTACCTTCAGAATCGAGCCTTCTATGAATATTGTGCCCGATATTCTGCGGGTTCCGTCCATGCAGCAAAAGTGCACTAACAACTACCCTCAATCGCCCAATCACTTCCCTACTGGCTTCATTGCATCCAGCAGCACAACCTTGGCCCCCTACTCTCGCGGCCCTCCCCATAAGCAGGATCTTGCCGATCAGAACGCTGCCATGCACTGGAATGATTCCAGCCTCGCGACTGGCACTTCCTATGGCGGTCCTATTAGCCCAGCTCCTCCCCATGTCTCCAGAGCCTCTTACCAGAGCCCTACTCCTCTCATTCAAGAGCCTCCAACTCCACACAATACAGCAGAAGATGCAACCATGAGGCTAGCGTCCGATGCCACAACAACCTTTACCCCCACGACAGTCATGCCATTGAAGACCCAGCCGGGCCATTCCGGTAGCCACACCAGCTCATCCAACAGAACCGCGCGTGTTGTGTCTCCGATTCAACAGGCCGCTGCCAATGCGCCGTCGGTCGGAAGCAGTTCCGCGACCAAAGCTACTATCAGTGATGGTCGGGCACCGGCTCCTGGCTACACCCCTGACCGGGCTCAGGTTCCGGATCAGAATCAGGCTCAAGACCAGGCTCAGGCTCAAGGCGAGAGCCAGACTCGGAATCGGAATGCGAAGAACAGCAAGTCAAACCGCGATACCGGCGCTAGGGCTGTCAGAAGACCCCAGTCCGACGTGGACCGATTGACACGTTTGATCGAATATCAGTTTGAACAAGGCTTCAAACGTCTGGGGCTACGTGCTGAGCCACGTGAAAGCGAGAGGAAGGACAACAGCTCAGCAAGAACACAACGAACCGCCAAATCTGTCAAGGTCAAGATCGAGCCACCCAATGCCCTTGCTGCCTTTGACCAACACCGGAGCGCCATCCTCGGCCAACTATCCACGCATGACTCAGTGTACTCACGAGTCGATAAAATCGAGCGGGGAAAAGAAAAGGAAGTCATGTGGATTACCTTCAAGAACCTGTCGGATGCTCAGGCCTTTAAGCCAAACGCTGCACATCTAACAGCCGCGACGAATGTGACTATCACCAATTTCGTCCTCTACCCCGAGTTCTATTGGGTTAGGGCCACATTGCACGGCAAGAAGATTACACGTGAGATTATCCAGGAAGATTCGGGTTTGCGTTGGTTCGAGAATTTTGGTATCTACCATACGATGTTCAAACCAGCGGTCAACGGAAACGCGGTCTGGCTTCGTTTCACTGATTCGACCATGGCGTGGAAACTGATCGAAACTGCCGAACAACAAGGAGACGACCTTCGCATCGACTTCTGCTCAGCCAAGATCGAGTAGGTCACCTCTTCAACTTCCCTGCTGAAATTTAGCTAATACGTACCCTAGGGCTGTTGATGTACGCTTGAAACCCTTTTACTGTTACAAGTGTTACGAGCCGGGTCACATGGAGAATAAGTGCAACCAACTGCACTCTACTTGTGGGAAATGCGCTGGTCAGCACAAGACATCCGAGTGCGCCCCAGGGACCAAGTTCCGATGTCCCAATTGCGGAGATGAACACCCTGCCTGGTCCCCGCAATGTCAAGATTCTGAGCGAATGAAGATGCTGGCACGTTGTGCTACCTTTGGCATAGATGAGCCGTTCTGGGCACGAGATATGCGCCAGGCACAAAGGCTATCTGAGATGGACACGTCACAATACTATTCGCCATCAGCATTTTCAGATTCCATGACACCCAGAACTCCTTCCGATCACCACACTGGAGACGACCATGAAGCTCACGCCAGACATCCGCACCCCACGCTCAGCCGTCGTGAGATGCGGATACCAGAGTCACCCACACGTAATGGCAGGACACAACGTGGCGAACGCAGTTTGGAGACGTCTACCTCCATCGCCCAGAATCCTGCCGAAAGGCCTCCTGAGTTCGGAGGTTCGTCCAGCAACCAGGGCCAAGGTTCGCTCCCAAAGGCCAGTCAGTACGTGGCCCCGGCCCCGAAACCGACACTAACATCATCAAGAGCGACGCATGCTCGAACCGTCGCAACTCCATCCGTACCTCCCAGGAAAGGAAGGAACGCCTTGGTGTCGTCAGCCACCGCGTCGAGTCCGGTTGAGGCAAGCAACAGTGGTGGCCCTCGTCCCAAGGCCCACCCGAACGGGAGGTCTGCTCGGGGTGCTTCCAGCTCGACCTCCAAGACCACAGAAGCAGACGCGGCTGCCGGAACGCAAGACAATTCGTCGCGCAACCAGAAAGCGCCAAAGAGGGCCATCAGCCCCAGCGTCAAGACCCCTCAGCGAGCGAAGCCGCGCCAATGCCGACGGGATATAGGAAAGCACGCCGCCTCGCCAACTCTCCGGCGGACCCAGTGGCATGCTAACAAGTCCGACGGGTGGTCCTCGTCTGGCCTGAGCGAGATTGCCGCAGGCAAGCGTCCGGCTGAGCCTTACACACTGCCTGTATCGCCCAACAAGTCAACGGACCAGAGTGTAGCTTCCGAATCGTCAGGCAGTGGCACAGCGACAGCGTCCGAGACAGGGACGGCGTCGTCCTCTGAGGCAAGCTCTTCAGTGAGACCTGTCAACCGTCCAGTTGCCGATCATCCGGTCGCTCCACCCGCACAGCAGAACAAAGGTCGCGGTGCCCAGGCCCCCGCGGACAAGAGTCAGGTTACATCGGCGCCATCGCAAGAAAGGGAGGTATGTGTGTATCAAACCTCGTCTTCCAGACCGAATCGTAACCATTACAACGTAGACCCTTTGAGCTGGCTTGAACTTAAGAAAGGGCGCCGACCTCGTGCCAGCAAGATGCTATTTTATGGTTCACTCCGGAAGTTCCACGGCCAGCCTATCCGGAAGAGGAAGTAGCATCTGGATGTATTTCCTTTCCAAGCACCAGGACATTGGGAGTATGAGATTGATCTGGGGTGGGTTTGCTCTTTTTCTTTTTCTTCCTTGTTTGAGGGGGGAGGAGGGGGGAGAGGAGAGGCTGTGTGTAGGGATTAGTTTGCGACTTAATGGAAGGTCCATGAAAGCGATGTAGACAGGACAGTGTGCGGGCCGTTGTACTTTTGACTCACAAAGAATTTACCTTCTGCGATGACAAGGTACAGTGGACACGGGGTTGAAAGCCCCTGATTTCGCCTGCCGGGCCTGCTGGGCCTGCCTCAGGCCGAAGATATGTGCAAACATGTTGGACCCATGGCA